CCGAGATGACCTCTGGTGTTTTAACATCCTCCTTTTGACAGATTTCGTGGAGGTCTCACTATGTTGTAGTTGTAATCGGCCATCTGTGAAAAGGAGGCATCGCAAAATTTTTTTGGCGTCTGTAATATAGGTAAGCAACGGAAAAAAATGCAAATATCTTGACGTTAATACGAAGTCATGAGCGAAAACGAAGCACGTGTTCGTTTCTACTCTGTTTTGCGGGTCTAATATGCTAAATAGGGTCTTCATCACGAAGACAACATCAGGCGAGCTCGGATTTCGTAATCGGAAATCTACCCGAGATGACCTCCTTCTGACGGACGTCGGAGTACGCTTTCCGATCTGGAAATTTCCGATCTGTCCAAGGACGTTTTCTCAAAGCAGCTTATCAGTCTTATCACCGCTTTATGTCTAAAGTAAGTATTATTTGAGGGGCTTGGCATTAAAATTTAAAATTCACAAAATTCTTTCTGTTTCTTGAGATTCAGTGCAATAAGAATGGCATTGTCATCAACAATGAAATCATATTTAGGCAAATATGCTTGAGAAGTTTATCTTTACTACTATTTTTATCATCCCAAATGGTTCTGAAATACGAATTTCCCAGTGAAAATACGACAGAATTGACAACTTTTCTTTCGAGTTTGCTTAATACTTGTGCAATGTTTTGCTTCGGAGCAGTATACGACCTCCAATTCCGATCTAGTAATCTAGTATGCGATGCATGCTTGTAATCTTCATTCATTGACGGTAATATACAATATCCTTACATTTCTCTTTCTTGTCGAAGATCACTCATTATCTTTACAAATCATCATAAAACCCGCCATCTACAGTTTTAGTCGGCACGTTTTAGAATGTAACAGTTTGCCTCTGTAACATTGAAACGTGACCACAATTTTAAAACAATTTCCTGTGTCATAGCTATAATTAGTATTGGCGTTGAAAGTTCACATTTTTGATTCGATAGTTGAATTTTTTGTACATTTCACTGTCATCTTTGATCATTTGATCATGATCTATTATATATGCATAGAATGTCCTCATGCAACGCGCAATCAAATCGTCTCATGAGAAAGAGCCAAAGCTAGATCAGTATACCTGTCTATAAAGAAACGGAATTAAAGCCAAAATGAAATATGGATGAAAACTCAAAGGTCGGTTTC